CCATGATCTATTGCTATAATATGACCAAAGTAGGCTGAGGCTTGTTATTGTCTTATGGTGATTTTGCTCTGGTTGTGGGACATGCAATGGAATGGTATCCAATGCTACTTGGCATCTCTGAAGATCAAGCCCTATGAAATATCAAAAAAGTATATATGAACAGTAAAGAATATGAGTGTCAACCTTCATTGTGATAATTGTGTTACTTAAAAACTGTTATGGCAAACACAGATATATAACATGAAATAACAGTGTGTTACATAGAGAAACACTTAGTTTGCAAGATTAATATTATTGTATATCAATTATTAGATGTTAGAATAAACTAGAGTAAACAATATGTATTTGGGAAAGTCTATAAATTCTAAACACATTTCAAAATTATAAATAAAAGACTAATCTTAATGAATAACAACTATTAGATAGTAGAATATCCCAAATATCTAAGTATAATCTAGGTACATCAACTACCCTTTTTTTTTACATAAGAAAACCAAAAACATTTTATAATTATAGTATTTCTATTTATATATCATACAGGAATATAAGAAACTCCATATAAAACATTCTAGCTTTTCTTTGATCAAATAACCATGTAATTGTATAATTGTCTCTGACCCTAGACGGTTGGGCTTTTTTAAAATAATTCCAAAAATGTTATTTGAAACACTACTAACACCACTAAAGTAACAAAATATAAATGATAATATAATATTTCTATATCAGCTTGACTAAAATTTACTAAATATAAAGAAAGAATTCTTTGAAAGCCCAATTCTATTAAAACTTGAAAATTTAATAAGAAAGTAAAGTGAAGAATTATAAAATCATTTAAAGTATATTTATTCATAAAAGAATATTTATAATATTAAAATAAAATATTTAAGTAGAATATTATCAACAAAGAATATAATAATATATTATTTGATATTTTCATTTAAAATAATTAAATTAATTAAATATTTCCAAATCATTATTGCACTATTATATAGTTTCAGACAAGAATGATAATATATTAATAAATACTATATAATTTATGATTAATTAATTATTAATTTAATTATTTAATAAAAGTGGGGTTTTTAGCTCATGATTCATCCATTAATCTTCTCCTTTTTGCATATTATTACAAAAGTAGACTATTTTTTTAAAAACTATGACTAATAGTGTTAGCCTTTTGATAAAGGTTTCAGAAAAGTTTGTTATGCATGTTAAGATTAATATGAACATTTTATATATAAAGATGAATATAAAATTTTAGAAATTACTAAATAACAGAAATGTACATGACACTCCCAGAAAATATATATTTGGAAATTTTTATAGCTAAAAGTTCTGTATCTAACTATAAATAACTATGATGCATCAAGAAGTGTTTGTAAATATATATTTACTCTAGAGTAACTCAATCACAAAAAATATTATTAATGGTAACTGTGATCTTATATAATGATAATTAATTCTCTATAATAGATTCATGACACATAAAAAGTTAGTTCTCAATATAATGAGTTGACCAGTTTAGCATTTATCCTGTGTATGAGAAATTATTGTAACATATGTGGTTTTCACCCTTTATCCTATGGTGATTTACCATGATGATTTATGGTGATTTACCAAAGTTATATGACATTCCTAATTCTGCCACCACTTAGCATCAGTGTTGTTAATGCTGCTCTTGGATGTTTAGTACTACACATAATTTGTACAATAGCAGTTGATATCTAATAGATATTCTCATTTGATTTTTTAACTAGAGTTTGGTTAAGAACACATGGAAACTGGCTTGTCATGTCAAGAAAATGAATTGTCATATGTAAAGCTACTTATATTTCTATATCTCCATCTAATTTCTGATACTACATTATAAAAGTTAATTACACTTGTATGATGAATGATGATATATCCCAAATTGGCAGTCTTGTCCAAACCACTAAAGGTGCTAAATATCTCTGATGTGTGTTTTTATATTAGAATTGTTATGTATGTTATGATTAGTATGAACTTTTCAAATATAAAGATGAATATGAACTTTTCAGAATTACTAAATAACAAAAATGTACATGACACTCCCAGCAAAGCTGGGATTTGTGCCTTGGATGAGTGTGATTGAATATATTGCCAATAGCAGTAATTTTAGCATGTAGGGTTTTTTTCAGATATCTCTATTGACCATGCATTCTAGGGTTGCTAGATCACAAGTTTCTGTGACAACTCACTACAAGTAGTCAGTACCTTTCTCTTTGTTAGTCAATTATCAGATTCTTTGATAATTTTTCTTTTTCTCTCTTGGCAGGATTTCTGGAAATAGCATAATCTAGCATATAATACAATTCTTGTGGAAAATGAGTATCCTCTAAGGCAGGCTTGCTCAAGAATATTTAACATAACATTAGCATAACCATACAAGTTAACAAATGGTTAACAAATGGTATGGTTAATTTTATACAGGTTCAAACTTTAATTATAATCCTCTTAGCATTCTCTCTATTAAAAAACACATACAGAAATAATGCTAATGATATAAAGTAGAATACTTCTAATATTAAATAT